CTATTCTATTCTATTCTATTCTATTCTATTCTATTCTATTCTATTCTATTCTATTCTATTCTATTATGAGTTTTACATAATTAAAAGCTAATACATAATTAGAAAAGGTATACAAAGAAAAAAGAAGAAAGAGAAAAAGGGAAAATGGAAAAGAAAGGCATAGAAAGTGAATCCCCCCTCCTTCCAGACAATTATAAGCATTTACAGTAATTTAACACCTTCTCTGATATTACAGAAAAATAAACTCTTCTTCCCATTTCTCATCATTAATATATATATATATATATTAATCAATCAGTCTTACAGAGCAAAAGCATTAAGAGTACCAGTAATAATAAACCATATGTTTTAAACTTAAACTACTAAATATATTTTGCATCTTGACTTATCACTTTCTCTAATAAGTAAAACATAAAAAAAGTTATTCCCATAACCATGAATAATATAAATAATAGTAACATATATACATATATATTATATATATACATATATATATAAACTAGATCCAATAGGTCCCTTTTACATACTAACTCCTAACTTTCTCTAACAAATAGGAAAGAAAAGGAATAAAAGGAATAATAGGAAATAAAATATAGATATAGATATTCCCCTCTCACCCTTATGGGTGGCATGTCTCTTCCTCAAGCTCAGGTCCTCTACCAGAGGCCTGGGAGTTTGAGGGTTCACTGCAGGATCTTAGCGGTTCCTAGCACTGCACTCTTCTGCACAGAGAGCTCGGATGTTGTTCCTGGGATCTGTTGGAGACACTCTCCCAGCTTAGGAGTCACAACTCTGAGTGCTCCTACCACCACTGGGACCACTTTGGCCTTTATTTTCCACATCCTCTCCAGTTCCTCCTTCAGGCCCTGGTACTTCTCCAGCTTCTCATAATCCTTCTTCCTGAAGTTGCTGTCACTTGGCACTGCTACATCTATCACTACCGCTGTCTTCTGGTCTTTGTCTACTACCACGATGTCTAGTTGATTGGCTGGATCTGGACCTGGATGTCCCACAGGATCTTAGCCCTGATATTCTCCATGACCTTCTGTGGAATCTCCCATCTGGACTTGGGGGGGTTCTAGCCCATACACTGTGCAGATGTTCCTGTACACAATGCCAGCTACTTGGTTGTGCCGTTCAGTATATGCTGTTCCTGCCTTCTATCTTACACCCTGCCACTATGTGTTGGATTGTCTCTGAGGTCTCTTTGGACAATCTGCACCTTGGGTCCTGCCTAGTGTGGTA